TGAGCCCCAGGCTCACACACCACGTGGCCTTGCAGCCCGGGCTTGGTTTCCAGGTTGCAGCACATTGCTGCAAATCTGGGGGTCACTTTCCAGGCCCTGTCATGAGCTTGGTGGGCTTCATCCACCCAAGATAGCTGGAGTCAGAGGTTTCTGCAAAAGAAAGGGCGTTTTAGGGTCCAGGTATGCTCTTTGAGGACATTATTCTGGGTTGAGCCATATGAAGAGTCAAGGGTGGGATGTACTAGTTCATCAGCCTAGGGGCCGGGACTGGACCTGATGGGGCCACCTCAGGGATACTGGGGTGGGGCTTGGCACAGGGGACTGTCCCCAGTGCAGCAACCCTTGTGGTGTTGGGGTACCATGCCCAGCCTGGTCAGCAAGTGGAGCAGAAGACTCAGTGACTGTGCAGAGCTGGCTAAAGCTAGGACCAAGGAAGGGCTCTCTCTGCACAGGACGCTAAGAGGGTGCTTCTGTTACTGATGGGTTTTGTAGAGCCAACAACCCTAAAGAAGTCTCTACATAAGGCCCCAAATGAGCTCGCAGTTATTCCAGCCATGGGCACTAGGGGGCAGCCCTGGGACCAAACCCCTACGCGATCCAGTCCCAGGAAAGGGAGTCTAACCAAGCCTGCCCAGTTGTCACTACTGGAGCCTGGGCCCAGCAGCTGCGGAACCACAGCAATGGCATGGCCTTTCTAGCTGACCCATTCCAGCAGAAAGTGGCCCAGAAAGATGGGGCGTAGGGAGGGCAGCGAGGACCTGAGTGGCTGCACAGCTGAGTTACTCCTGCAGGTGCTTCTGACGCTGGCATGGAGCAAGTGCCTGCGGCCTCAGCCAAGGCCGGAAGCCAGGGCTGCTCGGCCCACTGCGCCCCAGGTAAGTCGGGCCAGTGCGGGGGGTAGCTGGGGCCCGGCTGCAGAGAGGCCGCCCTGACCCGTGTCTCCTCCCAGGGCAAAAGCCCCACAAGGCCTAGTGAGCTGCAGCTGCCAGCCTGGGGATCCCTTTTAAGATGACCCGCACGGACCCGCCAGACCTCCTGGTGTCGACCGTGTATCAGGACATCAAGGTGGCGGCCCCGGGGCCAGCGTCGAAGCGCCCACCATGTGAGCGCTCCGTGGCCCCGCCTGCTGCGCCTGCGCCTTTCAACAAGCGCCACTGCCGCAGCTTCGACTACCTGGAGGCGCTGGACGGGGCGACCATGGAGGCCCTCCCTGAGCCGCCACCTGCAGAGCCCGCAGGGCCCCGCGCCCGGCCCCGCGACGGC